CCAAGTTAAAAAGCCAATAATCCTCAGAGCAACCTTTTCCCTTTTATTCAAATGGGTGGAGATAACGTAAAGTACAATTTTTTCTATATGGCACCTTCAAATGATTCAATCAAACAAGCGTGAAGTTCAACGTGTTCCGCACGCACACCCACGAGTCCATACAGTGTTTAAAAATCAACAATGCGTCATATGTTGGCCGAAAACGTTGCTAGTTTCTGGAGATTTTCTATCTATGCCGAATGCTTTGAAAGTATTGTAGTAATAATAGCGTGTAATTTGATTACTGAATCGATAGTTCATTTTAAAATTTTGAATGTCGACAAAACGCATGTGTGATTGTGTGCATGGCATTATTCGACGTCACGTGCCTGTGAATGCATTAAATATCACTTTGGTTTATGCATAAAATTCACGTCTTGTTGGCTGTCTGGTTTTAGATGTCTTCTTTTAGGTCCTTTTTCATTTCGCCTTAGTTTACTCTCCTCTTCTACTTTTTTGGTTTGTCGATTTTTTGGTATGATGTTAAAAGTGATTTAAATCTTGCCCATATTGTCAGTTTTTTGAATTGTAAGTTTAGATTTATTCCAGTATTCATATGTTGTAATTATTTTGGAGTTTTATTTCTTCTCAGTTTTTTCTAGAACATATGGGAAATTCATATTATTCACAATCCGTGCATATTTCTAACCACATTTTTACTTTGTTTTCCATTTTCTCAGAAGTTTGAGCGTTCCTTCTCTTCTTCATATACCTAACAATTTTTTCCAGAGTGGTTAGACCTGGCATGGTTTGGATAAGACCAGAATATCTGATTCTTGGTCAACCCTTCTGGTAAAAGCTCCAGTGATTACTGATTGATTTACATTAGTAATTTTCTTGCTTATTTTAGGAGTACAGAACAAGAAAACCAGTATTTCGCAATACAAAGAAGAAAAGGCCATGGCACAAAAGGATTTTCATCAGTTCTTGTAGCTACGATCGATTCTGTATTCGATACTCGTCCTGCGCCATATCGGATCATTTATAAATACGAGAATGATGATGTACAAATTGCTATCGGTAAGCCATCTAGTTTAACTTGTACTCTAATTCTTCTTATTAATGTCGACTTTAGTTATCGCCCATGCTGTGCGCAAAAATGAAATTCAAGAGCATTGGGATTGGATAGAAAGGAATGTCATGCCAACAGTTGGTAAGTGTAACGTTAATGGTTTTGTGGAGTATTTTGAGATACTCATACTAACTTTTTGAGGATCATTTACAACGGAGAAGGATGTTAGAGCTTTTGTACTGTGCAAAGTAGAAAGTCTAGTCCACATAGATGCTGAATCTGTTGCTGCCACAGGTCAGGGTCAATTCTTGTTTTTTCGGATAGTTTTCGTTTTGTCGTT